ACATGCACTTACTAACGGACATTGAGATAATTTTCAATTTCCTACTATCACAAACTCCTGCATCGAAATTTTTGTACATTTCCTTTTTGTGCATAAGACTTTTACTTTAATGTAAACTTATCAACCCGCTCCTTTATGGTTGTATGTCATTTGTGTGTGTTTGGTTCAATTTATTTTCTACTTCAAGGTGAAAAATATTTTCTCCTTATGTTTTCTTTCTTTTTTTTTATTATTTGGCTTTTCATATTTAGCCCTTTAATCTACGTGGACTTTATGATAGGAAGTAGGAATCTTAGATAGATAGCCAGTTGTCTCACTACCATTGATTAAGCCATTCTTTCTTCATTGGTTTATAATGCTATCTCTGTTGTATATCAAGCTTCCGTATGTGTATGGGTCTGGTTGGGGCTCTCTATTCTGTTCCACTGTTCTAACTAGCCTGGTGCCAACACCACAATATCTTAGCTACTAAATCTTCATGAAAAGTTTAAAAAAATATTTTTATTGAGTTCAGAGAGGAAGTGAGAGGGTGAGAGAGATAGAAACATCAATGATGAGAGAGAATCATTGATCAGCTGCCTCCTGCACGTTCACCACTGGGGACCAAGCCCACTACTCGGGCATGTGCCCTGACCAGGAATCAAACCTCGACTTCCTGGTTTGTAGGTCAATGCTCAACCACTAAGCCATACCAGCTGGGCTTCACGAAAAGTTTTGAAATCTGGTAGGGCAGGTCCTCCCACTTCGTTTATCTTTTTCAAATATATCAGTGCTATTTCCAGAAATAGCTATCTTACATCCTAAGGAGCACAATGATAAAAATCAACTTTTGGCATGTATGGTTTGATATACAATATGAGCTATAAAGAGCAGCGAGAGAGATAACAATACTACCGTTGCCAGTGGCTGGACAGTGGCAGAAAGCTCTGAGAGCAGGAGTCAGGGGTTACATTAAAGAAATCAGGTGTGTTTGAAATCAAGGTTCTGATCTCCATCCCATAAAGAACAGAAGTCCAACCTCAGTGACACTCTCTAGTTTTCCCCATGACCACTTACTCCTCCATCCCCACCTTTGTCTTGCCAGGGGCCCATCTCAGGTGAACATAGAGTGAACCAATATCAGAACCCCTGAAGAGGCATTCTGAACATCCATGAGTAATTCCAATGTGGCAGCTAGTGTGCTGTGAAATCATTAAAAGTTAGGTTTCAGGCTACAACCCTCTATATAAATTTTGGCTCAAGAAGGCATTTCAAGTTCTTGCCTTGAGCACCCCCACTCACACACACATACACATACACATACACATACACACACACACACACAACCTCCTATCTCCAACACATTGCAATAATCTATATATATAAAAGCCTAAGTGACCGGCCAACCGGTAGCTACGATGCGTACTGACCACCAGGGGGCAGATGCTCAACGCAGGAGCTGCCAAGCTGTGGTGACTTGGCAGCTGTGGTTCTTGGGTGATGCACCTGGAACCAGAGAGGAGGGAGCCTGATTCCAGGGTGCATCACTCAAGAACCTCCCTCTCGCAATCCGGGACCCCTCGGGGAATGTCAGAGAGCTGGTTTCAGCTCTATCCCCACAGGCCAGGCTGGGGGACCCCACCAGTGCACAAATCTGTGCATCGGGCCTCTAGCCCACTGGCTCCCCACTTTGGGTCTGGCTCCCTACCAGGCATCTAGCCCATTGCAGAGGTCATGGGTCTGGCCCTTACAGAAACTTTCGACTCAATTAGCTAAATGATGAGACATATAGGACCTACTGACTGCGCCCCCCTCAATGTCTGGCACTCACGCCAACCCATCTGCTTAATATGGATTTCCAGTGGAGGCAGCGAATTTTCCTGCTACCACTCTCAGCTGGGAAACCAGCCATGGCTTCCCTCCTTCCAGGGTGGACAGTAGCACCAGCAGGCAACCTCTGGGGAGGAAAGGAGGCGAAAGAGCAGCTCAGGTGGGAAGAAGGAGGTTCCAGCTGCCACAGGACTCCACCTGGGCGAAAGGGCCTGGCAGGAGCCTGATATTGAGCAGGGTCCTGCCCTAAGCCCACTAGGTTCCAGGCTAAGTAATTCCTGTTTGCTAAATAATTGCATTTTGCAGCTAAATGCCCACAAGTCGTCAGTTAACGCCAAATTTAGGGTAAAGTGAGATGAAAGAAGCAAGACAGATACAGAGAGAAAGTGACATAATATTGGGAGAAGAGAGGAGGGAGCCTGATTCCAGCCCATTTCAGGCCAGGCAGAGGGACCCCACTGGTGCACGAATCCGCACACCCAGCCTCTAGTGGTAAAATAAAACAATTGAAAAACACACCCAAACTGAACAGCAATTGGAGAAAAAAATTAAAAGACAGGAGGAGAGCCTAAGGGAGCTATGGGACAACATGAAACGAAACAACATACGAATAATAGGGGTGCCAGAACAA